ACGATCTACAAGCTGATCATTGGCAATTTTTTTGTGTGTGTTCAGTTGCCCATGTGTACAGTAGCTAAAACAACTATGCACTCTTTGTGGGAAACAATATGAGACCATGGACGATAAATTTTGGTATATGAGGGCTGTCACTAGTCACATGTAAAATTTCGGAGCATATCGACCCCCACCACCTGCACAGATAGTTGATTTAGTTACTGTACTTGACATTATACAAGTTGGTAGAGTGTGTCCTGAACAATGGGCGACGCGGCCAAGTGATGGTTTCTGTCCTGACCACAAGAGATAATGGTGCAGTAAAGAACAGGGAGGGCAGCACTCACCTCTGTCGCGCCGACCAGGAAGGTGCTACTGTAGTCCAGGTACCTGCCATTACCACCACCACTGTATCCTCTAGACCAGTTGTATTATATTATAGGTGAGTACCATTACCACCATTACTACCACTACCACTACCACCACCACTCCCATCACTACTACCGCAACTACCGTGCCGGCACTACCACAACAACCTTTACTTGTAGATCTCATTCTTAGATACATTACATTATAAAGGTTAATGCCACCACCACCACTACCACCACCACCAATATATTCAGATATTTTTCGAACTTTTCATTGTCAGTGAGTCTTATACATCTCAAATTTATTACTAGGATAGACTAAGAGTTTATTTTTATTATTGTTAACCCTGGAAAACCGGATTCTTTCACGACTGATTTGGTAATTACTAATTATTGACGAAATTTGTGACTCGTTTGATGTGTTGGGGGGCTTGGAAACGTCATCTTCTTCTTCTTCTTCTTCGTCGTCGTCGTCTTTCTTCTTCTTCTTCTTCTTCTTCTTCTTCTTCGTCGTCGTCGTCGTCGTCTTTCTTCTTCTTCTTCTTCTTCTTCTTCTTCTTCTTTCTTCTTCTTCTTCTTCTTCTTTTTCTTCTTCTTCTTCTTCTTCTTCCTCGTCTTTCTTTTTTTTTTTCTTCTTCTTCTTCTTCTTCTTCTTCTTCTTCTTCTTCTTCTTCTTCTTCTTCTTCTTCTTCTTCTTCTTCTTCTTCTTCTTCTTCTTCTTCTTCTTCTTCTTCTTCCTTCCTTCTTCTTCTTCTTCTTCTTCCTTCTTCTTCTTCTTCTTCCTCGTCTTTCTTTCTTCTTCTTCCTCTTCTTCTTCTTCTTCTTCTTCTTCTTCTTCTTCTTCTTCTTCTTCTTCTTCTTCTTCTTCTTCTTCTTCTTCTTCCTTTCTTCCTTCACTTCTTCTTCTTCTTCTTCTTCTTCTTCTTCTTCCTCATCTTTCTTTTTCCTTCTTCTTCCTCTTCTTTAGCTGCTTCTTCTTTGCTTCCTTCCTTCTTCTTCTTTATTCTTTATCTTGTACCTTCTTCTTTCTTCTTCTTCTTCTTCCTTCTTCTTCTTCTTCCTCTTCTTTCCTTCTTTCTTCTTCTTCTTCTTCTTCTTCTTCTTCTTCTTCTTCTTCTTCTTCTTCTTCTTCTTCTTCTTCTTCTTTATTTATTGTGTTTACATATTTTTTATTATTATTTACATTTCTTATTCTTTCCTTTTACTACTTGTCATTCTTTGCATTTCTCTTCTTCTTTTCTTCTTTTCTTCATTAATTCCCTTCTTCTTTTTCTGTCTTTCGGTTTAATCTTTATCATTTTTTTTTTTACTTTTCCTCTTCTTCGTCACTATTTTTTCTTCTTTTCATTTTTCTGTTCCTTCTCCTTTTTCTTGTCTTTATTTATTATTTTTGTTTGTATCCTTTTGTCCTCTTCCTCCTCCTCATCTCCCATTTCTTTTACTTTTTATATCTTTTTCTCTCCTTTTTCTATCTCCTATCTTACTCCTCCTCCTCTTTATTTTTATTTTTCTCCTGTTTCTCCTCCTCCTCCTCCTCTGCCTCCTACTCCTTCCTCTTCACTCCCTGAGGATGGCCGTACACATTGTTGCATCGTTGTGAAACATCTGTTATCATATGACACCTACATCTCCCTGCTGCTGTCTTCCTGGCGATATGTTTGTATGTATGTTTCTCTGTGTACGTGTGTGGGTGTGTGTGTGTGTGTGGTCTATTGTGTATGTTTGTCTGTGTGTGTTTTTGTATATATAACTGTGTATGTATGTATGTGTGTATGTATGTATGTATGTGGTCATGATAAACCCAGTCAGAATTATTAATAATTGTTTATAAATATTTCCATCATTATACTCACAATATAATCATTCTTATCTTAACCCTCTGTCTTACTCACGTTTCTCGACCTACTCTAACAGCCAAAGACAACAGTTACATTCATACACTTGTTAATCGGGTGAATCAGCATTGAGGGTCGACTGTGGTGTGTCGCTAAAGCTCGCTCCTGATGCCCTTATATGACCCCGAGATGATAGTTTAGTTCCGTGATTTAAGTCAGTGTTAGGTTATAGTGTGTGTGTGTGTGTTGATAGTACGAGGGCTGTGTTAACATTGTCACATACTGTATATGGTGGGTGAGGTTCTATTGTATTGTCTGTCATAATAGTTGTGGTATGTATGTATGTATGTATGTATGTATGTATGTATGTATGTATGTATGTATGTATGTATGTATGTATGTATGTATGTATGTATATATGTAAGTATGTATTTATTAATAGTAATTGTCAATTGATGTCTCCAAAACTTTGTTATTTGTCCTCGAAATCTGTCAAGTTCCTCTGTACTGTCGACAGAGCTGGCAAATATTGTTATGTTTTAGTATATTGTTGACATTTATGAGTCTAGTTCGCCACAGTAAACTTGACCTAATACCATCTACTGTACATAATACATTTGCATGTCTTCTAAATCCTGGACAGTGTAACGCAGTTTATTTCCAACAGCTGACCGCCACAAGTTGGTCTATTATTCTCTATTATTCTTGTAGTGTGAGGTCGACTGTACCTGCACTCTGATTAAATTTGAATAAACGTCTCTAGTTACTGTAGCGTTTTAATGCTGTTTTAACCTCATTCTAGGTACCATCCTTATGTTGAAGTTTAGATGTTATATTAGATAAGTTATCACATTCCCATAAAATAATTATATGTGTTCTTGTTCTGGGTGCTGCCTCTTTTTTTTTATCCCCGCTGAGGTAAGATTATTACGGTTTCCAGGTATTGGAAGTATTTGTCAGTAATAATGACAAGGGTACAGTACATTAATGTAAGTAGTTATCTCTCTATGTAATGCGTCTGTATCGTCAGAGGCCTTGATTCACCCGGCTATTTCCGGTCAGATGTGTCACCGCCAGGTTGGCGTGGTACTGATAAGTAACAATCAGCTGGTGATAACGTGGGTGGGTTAACGGGTAACCCAGGGATGCATAGTGTGTGTTATAGCCGCTCACACCAGTTTTCCTCATAGTGCCGGACACTCCCACACGTTGCTAGGTTTTGTCGCTCTCCACAATTCTTCCCCGAGTCAGGAGTCACTCAGATCCGTGCACAGTTTTCCTCTGTCTGGGGGGCGACGGAGCCCATCTACATTGATACTGGACTTTCAGTGTATTTCCATATCATTTCAGCGACTCTCTTCGTGTTGCGTCTACATATAACTACGGCACTAAGTGTGGGTGTTCTCATAGTCTCATTTTCCGAAAAAATACATAAAACGCCTTTAGGAATTTATAAATAACTTCCAATGCAAAAATTTGGAATACAAAAATATTTTGGTGAGCTTGTTACCAAAGGTTCAGAGGTCAGGAGTCAGTTTAAAAGTTAATGTGTAGTATCTCAAATTTTCACTAATATTTCGATTCATCTTTGACAATATGATGATACTCTGTGTTTGTATGTTACGATGATTCAGTGATAGACATTTTATAAACGCTTCTCTTGTGACCCAGTACTTATCTTCTTTGTCTCTGTAACTAAGTTGATCAAACCAAACCTCGCCTTGCCTGACCTGACTGGTGTATGCTTTCTGCGCGTGAAAAATGCATTTTTGAAGTGTCGTAGCAGCCAATAACTAGTTCCGGCTTCAATAGTAAGTAAGTAATACAGATCATTATGGCAATTAGTTAGATCATGTCATAGGTAGACCATTTACATATCTACTCTATGAATTGGTTCTTTATTAAAAAATATACTTTGTTAACATATTTCAATCGGTTGCTACTTTCTCTTCAAGTTTTATATGACTGAGTGAACTTGACTGAGTGTACTTTACTGAGTGTACTTTACTGAGTGTACTTTACTGAGTGTTCTTACTGAGTGTACTTGACTGAGTGTACTTTACTGAGTGTACTTTACTGAGTGTACTTGACTAAGTGTACCTGACTGAGTGTAATTTTTACTGAGTGTACTCTTTACTGAGTGTACTTGACTGAGTGTATTTTTACTGAGTGTACTTTACTGAGTGTACTTGACTAAGTGTACCTGACTGAGTGTACCTTACTGAGTGTACTTGGCTGAGTGTACTTTACTGAGTGTACTTTACTGAGTGTACCTGACTGAGTGTACCTTACTGAGTGTACTTGACTGAGTGTACTTTACTGAGTGTACTTTACTAAGTGTACTTGACTGAATGTACTTGACTGAGTGTACTTTACTGAGTGTACTTGACTGCTGAGGGGTAATGCTGAGCAGAAGAGTAACAAAATATTTTTCTAGCTTCGAACCGAAATCCATACAGGTACTTGTCAGTAACAGTACAGTAATTTGATTGTTATGTCTGAGAGAATTTACGAGTCATTTTATTTGTTCTTTGAGGGGACGTATTGTGTGTGTGTGTGTAGCAGTGTCCGTCTGTAAACTTTTCCATTTGATCTTAACATACATCGATAAAGATATTGTGTTAAAACTTATCAATGTAACATCCTTGACCGAGGTACACAACATCAAATTCAAATCTGTGTCGAAGGTCAAGGCTGAATTAAAGGTCAAACGGGGTATTTAACATGTCATTTAGGTATATTCTTGTTATATATAGTACCTTAAGGTATATTTTCGTTGATGTAAACAAGACTCTGTGTTTAATAATTGCAGACATAGATGAAGATGCTGGTGGAGACGTTGCTATCGTGGGTGTTAACCTACACACCAACACGACGATGCTGGACTCGGTCTGGCCCACATGTTGGTGACTCTCTGAAGGAGGTGACCGCTGGTGTCCGGTCAAGTCTTTACCTGGACGCTCCTCACCTACCTCACTCTAGCTCTCATCACCTTCCTTCTCTACAGGCTCGCATTCCAACCCTGGATAGATTTCAGTGAGTCTAACCTTAAGAGTCTAAATAATGATAACTTCGATGGTGTTTCTCTTCCATTTTGTTCTGCCAACTCGCCTTATCTCCGTTTGATAAGAGCTGGATAAGCCTAAGCCCTCACCTAGATTTTAATTATAACTCGTTGTTGTTTCTGTTAACTCTCTTGACCCAGTTGAGGTAAATCCCACTTCAACATTTAATTAATTGTCTCCCAGTAAAAACCTTCCTTAATTTTTCATCCAGTATTTTAGTTAGTTATTTTATTATGTATTATTAAGCTGTTGTTATACATTCTCATTTTATGTTCATGTGTTATACGTTATTAAGCTATTGATATAATATTGTATTTTATTTTTTGAGTCAGAGACAACTAACAATACTGAAGAGCAAAAGTTCTTCAGTATTACACTTGTCGGGATGGGAGATCATAGTAGCCAGCTCACACACTCAACACTTACAGCAAAGTTTATATTATTCTCCGTCCATCAAGGTTTGGGAGCACAGTTACTGAGATAAAAATGTATACATATATGCCACAATTTGTTATCAAAGATATACCGAATGTTTCCATCGTGAGGTTGTTTTGTGTGTGTGGGTGGTGCGCGTAATTATCGTAAAAACGTTTAAACACCGAGGTATCAGCCATGTGTACGTCATAGGAACACATCAAAATCTGGTTAGTCATTATATACCCTGAAGAGGGTAAGTAGTGGGTAGTAGGTGATGTATTCCCGGCCTCACCGGCAGGCAGCTGCCCCACAAGTGTCAGTACCTCTTTACAACACATGAGCGCATCACACCACCAAGACATAACAATATTGTATTACCCGAACTGTTGCGACAAACTGAGCATCGGGGGCGTGTGAGGAAACAAAGAGTAAGTGTAGGATTTGGCAATGTGGTGTAAAGGGTGAGGGGCGCCGGACATGATCGTGGAGGGCGGCTGCTCACCCCCTGGCCTACCAGCACCGCGCGCCCCCACACAATGACACATTGTCGCACCTCAGGAGGATACGCGTTTTCTGCAGTTACAAGCCCAGTGACATCCTTTGTCGTAACGTGTCGACCATGTAACACTCAAGACAGGTAATATTGTTCTTGTGCATGACATGGTTCAGGCTGACGCCCGGTGGCAATTTTAGGTTAGTCACTGTACGATTGACACGTAACTTGGTCACGATCCTCTAGGAAATGTGACCACTCACTGTGTTGGATAGACGGATTACGAGACAAACTTCAAATGTCTCGTTGAATAACATCTTACACACTGGGGCTTTGTAGCGGACTTGTGCATTGACTTTTTTTTAAATATGGACTAGTTCAGACGTTATTGCAGGTAGAATGACAAATCTAAGAGGAGACTTACCAAGTATGTAATTACAGACAATCACAAACTCAGTCTGTATTACAGTACACATATATTTACCTTCATCGAACTTCAGAGGTAGGACGACGATTATAATGAAGTGACACTAAGAAACAGCCAGACCTAATTTCTTTTGAGTAGGAACTATCAACTTTTGGAATGACCTGCCAGAGAATGTTCGACGGCACCGAGTGTGAGCCCATTTAATACCAACCTTGATCAACACTGACACATGTTCAAGTACAGAACTTATACCAAAAATACTTAATAACTAAACACACCGACCGACCGATTAATAAGCTGAAGAATAACATGTAATGAGTCTAACACAATAGACTTCTACAACAACCTGGTTAACCCGAGGATTAAATCGATAAAAAAAATCAAGTCAGCTCCCTCCAAGTGCCTAAAGACCTGACCAGAGGCGAAGATGATAAAGTTTGAGTAGACCTTAACCTCGTCGTGAGCCTCCTGCACAGACTCACAGATCACACCATCAAGATCAGCGATAACTTAGTGTATAGAAGCTTAAAGATTCTCAAATTAGTATAAAAAATATTCCAATCTTATTTCCAGGACCAGGAGTATAATTCATGGGAGATTATCGCATGTGATTTCGTTAAGTGTAATTTGTTCTTAGGTTTTCTCATAAGGTGGCTCCACAGTCAGTTCTACACAGTCAGTTCTACACAGTCAGTTCTACAGTCAAGTCTACACAGTCAGTTCTCCACAGTCAGTTCTACACAGTCAGTTCTATACAGTTAGTTCTCCATAGTCAGTTCTACACAGTTAGTTCTACACAGTCACTTCTACACATTCAGTTCTACACAGATATACACAGTTCTACAGTCAGTCCTACACAGGTCAGTTCTACACAGTCAGTTCTACAGAGTCAGTTATCCACAGTCAGTTCTACACAGTTAATTCTACACAGTTCTACACAGTTCTACATACAGTCAGTATCAATATGTTAGGTGAGATTGATGTTTACTCAGATAACCAGCGTGGTGCTAACACTTATCAAGACACTGACTTCAATATTTAATACACAGCCTTATCTGAGGGGTTTACCAGCTTAGTTATCGTAAATTTTAACAGCATTATCTGGGGACGTTAGTAGCGCCACTGTTGTTTATCGAGGTAGTCTAAATAGGGATAATTGCCTAAGAGCGTAACTTCTGAGTGTGTTTTTATTTGGAAACTTTTGATTAGCTATAGACTATCATGTGAGATCATTATAAGTCGCATGAGTGAATAGTTTCATTCAAAACCTAATCTAACCTAACCTACTTTAGGTATAATTTACCTATCTGATGAAGATAAACGACGTCTTAAATGAAAGAAGGCAAATTTTACCATATATAAATTATTTTCCATTAAGTACCACTAGAAACAAAAAGTTATCCCTGTTTGGCAAAAAGACCAGTTGTTTCTTAAAATTCAGTCTGCGATTATCCCTATTTAGCGTGACATATACAGTATAATATATAGATAGTGTGCGTGTAGGTGTGCGCTGGTGCCCACAGTTTTTCCCCCTACCTATTTCCCCCAACGCCAATTTACCGGTGAGGTGTGCATCCAACAAAGGATAAAGAGACTTTTCCAGGCATGGACGAAGGTAATGGCCGCTTCCATCACTTAATTTCAGTTTTCAGACGCTTTCACCCTCATCGTTCACACGGAATATGACCTACAGTAGATCTTGAGCACCCGCGTAGATGCATATGCTCACTTCGGCCACCGGTGAACATACGCAAGACGCAAATTCTATTCCAGCCCACCTCTGGTTCAGGCATACCCTCACCGTTCATCCAGGCTCACGGAGCCACCCCATCTAACACGCTGGCTCCCACCTGTCCACCACAGCGGACACCGACGAGAAGATCCAACATCGAATTAAACGTGCATCTAAAGCCTTTGACAGATTGCACTTTCAGCTGTAAGGAGTTGGAACGCTTAACAGAGATTTTCGTCTGTTGAGCAGTGGTTCTCCCTTCCCTGGTGTATGGTAGCAAGACATGGGTCACATACAGGCGACACCTGAAGGGGCTCGAGAGTTTCACCAGTGCGGTTTCCGATCTAACTTAGAGACCGCTGGGAGGGGAGGACGACCAATACCAGTGCTTTCGCTGACACTAACTGTAGGAGCATCGAGACCAACAATGAACTGGTCACGTTACTCTCATGGACTAAAGTAGATCACTAAAGTATCCAATCTACAGCTATTTAAAGATCGGCAGATGTAGTGTTGGTGGGCAACATAATAGATACTGTACATAGATTTACTCAAAACACCTAAAACTTCAAAATTACACACAGCCTTGTAATGCTTAATATTGTTATCGCTGATTGGTCGAGAGGATATTGCGTGGCCTGTGCAAAAACAGCTGGTACTTATCACAGTATGGAAAAAATCAAGCTTTTTCCCCCCGGTTACAAGAATGCACACCATGCGTGGCAAAAAAATTTACTTTACTTTTTCTTGCTGTTGCGTTTGAGGGCGGTCATATTACACGGGCTGGATTTCTAAAATTGGGTATTTTTGGATTTACGTTTAGAAAATGAACACACACACACACACCGAGATTACCGATAATTTCTATGAATTTATCTTTTGTGGGAACGTCTGACTGGCCATAAACGATCATTTAGATGATAAAACTGCACAAAAAGGAATAGTTTCATACAAAACCTAACCTAATCTAAATTAACCTTGCCTAGTCTCGTATGATAGAAAAGACGTCTTAAATGAAACAGAGCAAATTTTACCCCTATATGGATTAATTTCCAGTAATTTATAGCAAAAAACAGATAAACTTATATTTTTCATTTACGAGAATAATTTTTTTATTTTTTTCTAGTTTTTTTTTGTCTTTAGTGAAACTTGTCTCTAGTTTTCACTAAAGATAAAAATTCTAAAAAAAACGGTAAATGGTTTCATAACTAAAATTTATTTATGTCAATGCTATTAAGTGACGTTATTCTTATAACAGGTCATACTAGTTACTCTTATTCCAAATACATAATCCAAATATTGATGTCTAAACGTCCAAATACCTTCCCTGTTTACCACACGTATCAGCTTTCTGACAATTTAAAGGTTGCGATACAAGAACTAAGACTGGTGAGCGGTGCCTGATAAACCTGACAGATGAAGGGCCTAGGAGCTAATGCAACACGCACGGACCTCGTTCTACACCCTGGTCAACTCGGCCCGGTACTGATGCGAGACCGGGGAAACGCTGGGCAGATCAAGTTTACAATAATTCTTTAGAATAATCCAAACGAAGCCTGGCGCATTTTCTGTGATCAATATTATATTACGAATATAATTAGAGTAAATGGCTTCCTTTAAAAGAATACATTTACATTATAAAAACATGTTAGATAATAACCTCTCTCTCTCTCTCTCTTAATGGACGTTTTCTATATAAAAAAGAATAAGTAATCCATTACTTACTATATATTCACCTACCAGTATTATTTGTGTGCCTCGCAACAGTCGACGCTTAACAACAAGAACCATAAGACTGACCGACATGTTAATAGTGAGTGTGAGGGGTCGTAGGTGCAGCGGGAGGGACACAGCGGGAGTGGGTACAAGGGCAGAGATAGTGGGTACAGGGACAGGGATA